CTGAGTTCCAGCTAAGACCTCTGTAATAAAAGACAGATTAACAACAGGGAAGCAAACAGTGGTTTGTTAACACGTATAGCTCCTGTGTCCATGGGAGAAACCCAGGAAAAATGGGTAACTCTCTGAGGTGGCTAAGAATTTAAACCTAAATAGTATCGTAATAGGGAAAACAGAGAGGGGATGAGGCTTCTTGGTAGAGAGTAAATGATTTGTAGGACAGACGAATGGGCCGCTAGGAAGGGTAGATGGGAGGTCTGGCAGTTTGTGACAAAGCCTGTTGGGATATGGTGCCAGTTTCTAGTCTCCTCTCCTGTGACAAGCGTCTTTCCTCCCTGGTTAATGAAACTCTCAGGAAGGGAATTTACGACAATTGAGTTCCTGTTGGAGCATCTGTGTTTAGTCAGATGAGGGGAGTTCAGACAAAGCCTCTTGTGCATTTGCTGTTTTTCCAGTGCCTGCGGCTCAAAATAATCAGTGTACCAAAGTGGCATAGTTTGGAGTGTGCTGAACTCCTGTCATTATATTTGGTGCTGACATATTCTGTTACTCTTCCCTTCTGTTCTTGATCGAATTGTGTTCTCCCCAAAAGGCATGTTGAAGTTCTAACCCTCAGAATGTGACCCGCCTTGGAAATACAGTCTCTATAGAGGTCTACAGTTAAAAATAAGGTCATTGGTCCTAATCCAATATGGCTGGCGTCCTTATTAAAAGGGGACCTTTGGACACAGAGACCGACGTGCACAGAGGGAAGGTTCTGTGCGGACACACTGGAAGACAATCACATCACCAAAACGGTTCGTCTGCAAGCCAGGGAACCAAGGATTGCCAGCAACCACTCGGAGCTAGAAGAAACAAGGAAAGATTCTCCTCCAGAGCCATCAGAGACAGCATGACCTTGCCAATACCTTGACCCTGGGCTTTCAGCCTCCAGCATTGTGAGGCAAGAAATATCCATTATTTTAAGCCAATTTTTGGTACTTGTTATAGCAACCCCGGAAATTAATACAGCTTCCCAACTCCAGTGCAATAATAACTACCATTTATCGGCTATTTACAATGTATGTGCTGTGTGCCAACACTTTGCTTTATTTATTTGATCAGAATGAGTCCTTCTAGATCCTTGCAAGGATGAGAAAACTGAAGCTTCTTCCATTGGTCATTGCAAAAGAGCACCATAGAAGTTTCCAGGAAAGGAGAAGTCTTTGACATCAGCAACAGGGAATGGTCAATAGGTTTTTTAAGGCAGACAGTGAGGAGCTGGGTCCTTAACAGGGCTAGGGGAGGGGAGGGGGCATTATTGCCATTCCTTACAGATCGACTCATTATTCCAATTCACTTAAAAACTGGAAATGTACCTTTTGGCCCAAAGGGATGTGGCCGTAGATACAAAATGACGGTGAGCCACCAAACAAATAAGATATTTTCAAACAACTTGCAATTAATTCAAGGTGTTGTAACTCCTAAGCGTTGAGTGCCCCAGGGAAGGAACTGGCTGGGATCACTGGCTGGGTGTTCCAGGTACCCTGGGCCAAATGCTTCGGGCTGAATGACTTAGCAAGAATAAAATAGCAGGGGCACAGAGCAAAGCCAAGTTGAGAAGGGAAAGTCTTCTAAAATGCCCATCTGAGAGCTTGGGAAGCAGTAGCAGGGCTATGGGGGACGTCAGAGGCAGAGCGGCCCGGATTGTGGATGAGAAAATAATTACCATGATTCTGGAGCCAGAGGGATTACTCAGTAGGCCTGCTTTTAAAGTGCTGTATCCAGCTGATTTTGCAGGCTTGACTTAAATCTTGAAGCTATAAAATTCATGCCTTAGAGCCGGGGATGAAAACTGGAATTTCGACCCAATAGCAACTAACTTAGTAACCTTGGGGTCAGAATATCTTAACAAAACACGCTTCCGTGTTCCTTAGAAGACAGGGCTGACAAATAGGATGCTCTGCCTTGGAGATCGCGTCTGCCTGACGAAGATGTCCCCCAGAATCTTGGGAGTGGCAGAGTTTTTTTTTCCTTGAAATTCAAAGATTTGGGTCCTTCCGTGGGAGGAGAGAAGCTCCAGGTGATTGCCGTGTTTTCCTGAGCTGATCTCTGCCTCGTACATGGATCTCACAGTTTAGACCCGGGGAAAGTCTTAATTTACCAAGTGTCTCTTTGGTGCTGGGCTCTATGCCAACTGCCGGAGAAACAAAAATGAAAATGTGCTTCTGGCTGTCGGTAAAAAGCAAGTAAGAGTCTTGTCGAGATACAAGACGCGCAAACAACAATTATTAGTGTGATGTAAAAGTTACTTCCAGAGGTCTGCGCCCTGGGCTCCGGGAAACTCAGTTACGAAGGGCTGACTCCCTACTGATGGAGGGCGGGCTGCAAAGGAAGGATCCGTGGAGCAGGTGTAACCACGGGATAGGAGTTCATGTCACAGGGCGGCAGATGCCGGATGACAAAGGCCGCCAAGTGCCAGGGTTAAGGGAACCATTTAAGTCTTTGAAGCTGTGTGGCGACAGGTTTAAATGCGCACTTTAAGGAACTCTCTATGGCAGCAGTGTGGAGGAAGGAGTGACAAAAATACACACTTTGGTACACTTAGTTCTGAAGAGTGATTTCACCTTTGACTGCGTGCACACCTTCTTGAGTCTTTTCAAGCAACAAAACATGCAGAATTAGAAACCCTGTTCTCCACCCAGTACCTAGCTCTGCCACCGAAGCAGCACGTGCCTATGCTCCAATCCTACAGTCACACAGTTCTTTCTGGAAATGGTTGAGACCAGTGAAGACAGTGGGCCGAGTCCCAGTGTAGCATGTCCTGACTATGACTGATACCGTAGGTTCTCCCCCCCCTTTTTTTTAAGTTTATTTATTTATTTTTGAGAGAGAGAGAGAGAGAGAGCGCGCACATGAGAGCAGGGGAAAGGTAGAGAGACAGGGAGGAAGAGACCCAAGCCGGCTTCATGTTATCAGTGCAGGGCCTGACTCAGGACTCAAACGCACGAACCGTGAGATCATGACCTGAGGTGAATTCAAGGGTCCGGATGCTGGGGGCGCCTGGGTGGCTGGGTCGGTTAAGTACCTGACTTCGGCTCAGGTCGTGATCTCACGGTTTGTGAGTTTGAGCCCCCCCTCAGGCTTTGTGCTGACAGCTCAGAGCCTGGAGCCTGCTTCAGATTGTGTCTCCCTTTCTCTCTCTCTCTCCCTCCCCGACTCATGCTCTGTCTCTCAAAAATAAATCATTAGGAAAAAAAAAATTAAAAACAACAACAAAAAATAAAGAGGCAGATGCTTAACTGACTTAGCCACCCAAGTACCCCTAGGCTCTCCCTCTTAAATGACTTTTTCCGTTGTATCTTTGGCTTTACAAAGTAGACAATTTAATAATAGATACCCTGGCATATAGTTGTGTAGGTGTGAAGTATTCTACCTGGCAAAATAAAAAATGATAAGAGTTATCCTATAGAAATCCTACAGTTCTGAAGCCACTACTGGAATTCTTTTTCCTGTTATTAGAAAAATAAAAAAAATCAAGTGCTCTCCTGCATTTAAATATTCACAAAAAAACCCAGGAGCTCTCAGTAATAAATTCTAGCAGAACATATTTTTTGTTTTACCCTATATTCTATAAGCATCGTTCTCAAATTTCAGTTTGTACCAGAATCACCTGCAGGGCTTCTTAAAACAGAGTGCTGGAGGGGGTGGGGTTCCTGGGTGGCTCAGTTGGTTAAGCATCTGATTTAGGCTTAAGTCATAATCTCCAGTTCATGGGTTTGAGCCACACACGGGGCTCCCTGCTGTCAGCGCGGATCCTGCTTTGGATCCTCTGTCACCCCGCCTCCCCCTCAAAAAGTTATTAAAACAAACAAACAAACAGAGTGCTGGTCCTGCCCCAGTGTTTGTGATTCGGCTGGTCTGGGATGAGGTCTGAAAAATTTGTACTTCTGACAACTTCCCGGCTGATGTTGCTGCTGTGGTCCAGAGACCACACATTGAAAACCATTGCTCGGAAATAACAATGGCTAATTTTTATTGGGTACTTTCTATGTTCCAACTGTGTTTTGTGAGTTCCTCACTTGTATTTAGCCCTTTTAATCCTTTTGGCAACCCTAGGAGGCAGGCACTTTTGAAAGGTAGCTGAACAAGCCACCCCAAACTCTGCCTCCTGGGCGTAAGTATTGTTTTGAGCTAATTATTTGAGAAGCAGCAGACTGCTTTCTGGAGCCGCTCTGAAGGCAGAGGAGAAGTTGCCCTTCTGAAAAAGAAATTTACATCTATAAAGAAACTCTCCACTGGTAACAGTGTTTTCCTCTGGGTATCAGGAAGAGAAGGAAGACTAAATCAGGAGAGAATCTTATCAATGGGGAAGGCACCAGACTTAAGTTTGCATAATAAGCTTCACCTTTGTTCATCGGGGATTTTCTAATAACTTCCCAGTAACCAGCCTCTTCCCACCTTTCTTTCGTCTTTAGCTGAAGATGGGATTTAAGTCAGAGTTCGAAGCCTCTCCAGAGAGTGACTCATTTTCCCCTGGGTATCTCTCATGCATAATGAGCTGGAAGCATTCATAAACTTCTGTTTGTTTTTCTCTTATTAATCTGTCTTCTCTCACAGGGGTCTAAACTAGAACCTGGATAGAAGGAACATTATTTCTCCCTCCTCTACGACATTATTACAAACGAAGAAACCGAGGTTTGAGAAGGTACAGTGACTCAACTCAAGGTCACTCGGCAATGGGCTTAGATTGAACCCAGAATTATAGTGATAATATATAGTGATATCACTATAGTGATATAGTGATATCACTATAGTGATATAGTGACAGTGATTTGCTATGATTTTCTTTTGGTGAATTCCTACCTCTAAATATGTTGCCAACCCAGAAACTTTGGAACGCTGACAGCACTCTGTCAGTATGTTTTGTGACTAATATTGTTCGGATGTGAACGTTGTTCTTCGTGAAAACATTCATATTTTTAGGTAGAACTTTACTTTATCCCCAATGCACATTTCTGACGATGGAGATGTTGCCAAACCTGCTGACTCATCACAAAAGTAAAGAGCATCTACCATTTAGTCTAAGGCTTGTCGTCTTGGGAGGTGGTGGGAGGAGAATTAGGTTGCCTCCCCCTATTGATCATTTTCACTTCATTTTATTCAATGGCATTTATAGTACAGTGGAGGTGGTCTTGAGAACTTCGTGGAGATTAGTTTTTCAATGGTATAGGTGACTCTGCTAAATGTTTAAGGTATCTTGGGGAGCTAGAGTATTCTCCTGACTCAGGGGATCGTGGCCATGTAAATCACTTTGTTTTAAGTGCTTTGGCCTCTGAATATCTAAAATGGACACACACTTTATTGATGTATTAAGTCATTTCTATGGTCGCTGAAGGCCCCAGCTACAACTTTGCGCCTGACCACACACCAAGGACTTTTGATTGCTTGTTTTCCTGGCTCTTTGCCTGTTGTCTTTTCTCTATCCATAACCGTGTATGTATGAAGTCCAGAAAATTCTTTCTGTTTCTCTGTCTCTGTCTCTCTCTTTCTCTCTCGCACACACACATGCACACACAGAGTGTTTCATGGATAAGTTAGGTCAGGAATATTTCTATCTTCTGAAGCTAAGCATAAAATATCTCCTCTGACCACAGCAATGTCGTGTTTTGTGTTAAGGCTATCGTCCTAATAATAGGAGGCAGGGCCATCATCACTTGGTGTAAAGTTCCCTATAATTACAATCTCATTATCAAGGAGAAAGCATTAATGCTCGATATGCTTTTAATTTAATGCCAATTTTCACACTTGAAGACATTGCAAGTATATGCAATTCTGCTGCTGATAAACTCTCGTTGTAATACTGAACGTAACTGCAACATATTGAGACAAACCGTGAACATTAGCTTAAAAATGAGCCACACCGAAACAAGAATGTACCGCTACACCCCTGAAAGTTTATGAGATTTACTAAAAATTATTAATAAGGAGTTGTTTACAAGAGATTCCTTTATTCACCAACCCAATATCTCCACATTTTTACCCACTGTCTAAGGCGAGCTAATCATGGCCTGAAATGTTTCAAAGCACTGATAGTATAATTTTCCTGTTTATCATATATCCGGTGAAGTATTATATATTTTACTTATTTTTCTTGTTCATTCTGTCTCTCTCCACAAGCTCTGTGAGCAGAAGTTTTCATCTGTTTTGCTTGCTGCTGTATCCTCAATGCCTAAATAATGCCTGACATATACTAGGCTTTAAACAAACACTCGAGTGGATAGATAATGAATGGATCGTGGAGTAGATGAAATGTAATGGCTCAATAGTCGTCATCAGAACTGAAACGCAGTTTCAAGAACCTCTAGTAAGTTATGTAGGATGGAAAGTGATACAATGGGATCGAGGCATTTCCCCCATCTCTGAGAACTAACTTATTTTCTAGAAGGAAATAGGGTGAGTTCACACAGGCTCTGTTAAATATCTAAAAAGGTAAGTCAGACCATGAAAGACAAATATGTTCTCACTTACATGTGGAATCTAAAAAAGCAGAACTCATAGAAACAGAATAGAATGGTGATTACCAGGAAATGAGGGCAGGGAAATTGGGGAGATGTTGGTCACAAAGTACAAACTTGCATTTAGAAGATAAATAAGTTATGGGGAACCTAATACACAGCACTGTGATTATAGTTAACAAAACTGTATCCTGTATTTGCAAGTTGTTAAGTTGTTAAGTTGTTAAGATCTTAAAAGTTCTCATCACGAAAAAGAAATGATAATTATGTGACATGAGGTGGGTATTAGATAGTGGCAATCATATTGCAATATATGTCTCAAATCAGTACATGTACACCGTAAATTTACACAAGTGTTATGTCAATTACAACTCCATAAAAAAAAAGAAAAAAGAAAATAGGCAACAAATATTAAGGGAAAATGTTGTGAAGTTATAGATTATTTTTAAAGTAGGGATGGTTGAACCCATTGTTTATATATCATTTTCTTTCCTTTCAAATTAAATCATGAGAAAAAAATTAAATTAAATAATGTGGATGGAAATAGCAAACTCCATAAATGAATAGCTTCTAGATGGTTCAGACAACAAAAAAATGATCTCTAATATATGCCAAAAACGATATGGCATTTCATCAAAGTATAAATTTAGAAAGGCAAATTGCTTGTCACCTTATCACAAGGAATTCAAGTAATTAGGTGGTGTATTACTTATCTATTGCTGAATAACAAATTACCCCCAAATTTAGCAGCTGAAAGCAATCGTTTATTATCTCATCGTTTTTGTGGGTCAGGAATTCAGGGGCAGCTTACCTGGGTGATTCTGACTCAGGGTCTCCAGACTCATTTGCTAAAGCTGCCGTTACAAAACACCACAGACTGAGTCGCTTAAAAAAGAGAAATTTATTTTCTCACAGTTCTGGGGCTAAAAGTCTAAGATCAAGGTGCTGGCAGGGTTGGTGTTTTCTGAGACCTTTCTCCTTGGCATGCAGATGGCTGTCATCTTGATATTACTTCACGGCTGTCCCTCTATGCACATGGACCTTGCTGTTTCTTTTTGAGTCCAAATTAAAATTTTTTTTTATTTTTTTTACTCATGTTCAAGAGACAGACAGAACACAAGTGGGAGAGGGGCAGAGAGAGAGGGAAACACAGAATCGGAAGCAAGGTTCAGGCTCCAAGCTGTAAGCACAGAGCCCAATGTGGGGCTCAAACTCGTGAACCATGAGATCATGACCTGAGCTGAAGTCAGACTCTTAATGGACTGAGCCACCCAGGTGCCCCATAACCTCATTTTAACTTAAGGGCTTCTTTGAAGGGCCTATCCAAATACAGTCATATTCTGAGGTTATGAGAATTAGGACTTCAGCATATGAATTTTGAGGGGACACAATTAAGTCCATAACAGTCTTTCATGTTGGTTGGGGCTGTTGTTGGATCTGACAGATTGACTGGGGAGGGATGACCTTCAAAGTCCATTCAAGTGGTTATTGGAAAACCTCAGTTTCTTGCTGGCTGATAGCTGGAGATTTCAGTTCCTGCCATGTGGGCTTCTCCAGAGGAAGGCTAAGTGATGTCATGACATGGCTGCTGGCTTCTCCCAGAGCTAGTGATCTGAGAGGGAGGGAGGGGGGGAGGGAGACAGAGGAACCCGAGGTGGAATATTCAGTCTTTTCATAATCTAATTTTAGGACCATTACTTCTGCATATTCTATTAGTCACACTGACTAACCCTGGTAAAATGTGGGAGAAGACCATACAAGGGGATGAATACCAGGAGACAGAATCACTGGTGGTCATCTTGGAGGCTGGCTACCACAGTTTGATCAAAAATAAAAATTCATGTATTCTGCAGAAACTTATGTATTTATGTTACTGAAAATATTCTGATCAAGTAATAAAATATGACATTGAAATATTTTTAGTGATTGGGACAGGGATTATGCTTTCTGGGGTTGAGTTATTTTTACGGAAGAGATTCAAAGGGCTTTGTCAAACAAATGTATAACTGTTGTAAATATTAGTGCCCTAGGGTGTATTCTAAATAAGAAGCACCAGGAGTTAGCAGAGTAGTCGACTTCAGCCTCTGGTGCTAAAATGCCTTGGTTTTCTGTTTTGGTTTGGCTCTTTGTTCCAAAAAATTTAAGTCAGCTTTATTGAGATATGATTTACATAGAATGAACCGTCTATTTAAAAAATACAAACTTTCGGTTATAAAATAAGTAAGTCACAGAGATAAAAAGTACAAGATAGAGAATTTTTAAAAATATAATAAACAAGCAAACAAATAAATAAAACATACAATTCAACAAGTTTTGAAATGTGTAGTCTGTGAAACCACTACCATGGTAAGTATACGGAACATTTCAGTCACCCCACAAAGTTCTCTCTATCCCTTTCTTAGGGTCTTCAGTCCCAGGCAACCACTGATCTGTTTTCAGGTAGTAGAAAGCTCAGGTAGTAGAAAACTCTACCTGACTCTGTTTTTCTGGAGAATCCTGACTAATAGTCTTGCATTCTAGTTCAATATTTTCAAAAGCAAGTTTAAAATATCCAACAGGGTGTACTATGGGGAGTTCCAACTCAGTAAGTGCAAAGTGGAATTATTTTCCATTTAATCACCCGTTGACGGATTCAGTCAAAAAGAACTTATGGGATGTCTACCACGTGCAGATAGGTATGCAAAGTGCGGTTCTGGTCTTAGTTCACTGAGTAGGAGAGTCAACAGATAAGGTACAAAAAGTAAATCTCGCAATTCCCTCTGGCAAGCGGCCTAATAGAAATGTGCAGGGCAGAGTGGTAGTTGAGGTCTGCAGGGGCGAGAGACAGAAGACTTCCAGATCTGTAGGCTTGACGGGGAGGAGTCACCGGGTGGGCAGGACAAGCTGATGGGGAAAATACTTTGAGCGAAGTAAAACGCATGTGCAAAGGAAACATGTGAAACAGCTATGGTAATTAAAGTAATTAAGTGTGCAAGAATTGCAAGGGTTAATCGTGAGTTCTAAATATGATGAGAATAAAATGATTGAGATATAAGGGTTTCCAGTTACCCCCCCACCCCACCCCCACCCTGTGTGCCTATTAAAAGGAGTTTTGGGATAACTCCTTAGTCCCTTTCCTTCTCCTGCTCTCTGAGGGGGTCCTGCCCTGTCATAGCAGTTTGTGGGGTAAGAGGGAGGAAGGAAGGAAGGAAGGAAGGAAGGAAGGAAGGAAGGAAGGAAGGAAGGAAGGAAAGAAAGAAGGAAGGAAGGAAGGAAATAATGAGGACAGGGAAGAGAAACAACTAGTATTTTTTCAACATGCCCTTTGTGCCAGGCCTTAGTCTAAGCATTTTATTTGTATTAACCCATTTAATCTTCTCAAGCATGTGAAGCAGATGTTGTTTCTCCCATTTTAATTATGAGAAAACTGAAAAACAGAGACAGAATACATTGCCCAAGTTCTCACAGCTTGTAAATGCCAGAATCAATATTCAAATTTAGGCAGTTTATACTGCCTATATATAAATCATATATATATCTGTATATGATATATGTACATGTATC